TTCCAATATTGAGGATCTGGGGTTGATTTAGTCTTGAGTGCTTTCAGGTTCCCCCCTCCCCAGGGGACAGACAACTTTGTGTCCTCAGGCAGGGTCCCAGCCCTTTGCTTTGAGTTCACCTTTCTGTGTTGGTCTGGTTCCTAGCGTGCCCCTCTTTGTTTGAGCCCCCAGTGCCCCCCCATCCCCCGTGTTTGTCTTTATGTGTTTATGCTCATTTCTTCATTTCCTCCTCTGCTTCCCGTCAGCCTCCCAAAAAGATATGGGACTATACTCCTGGAGACTGCTCTATCCTTCCTAGAGAGGATAGGAAGGTAATCCCGAGCCTCCTCCGCGGACTGTGTGCTAGACCTCTAGCTTTGGGTGCCGTGAGTGTGTTGTGGCTTTTGTGTTCTTTTCTTAAATCTTTTTTTTTTTTTTTTAACTTAGTAACTTGTTTGGCCTGGTGATGAAACTATATTTAACAAAGTCTGTGAGACATATACTAATGTTTAGAGGATTTTAAAAAAAACCAAAAAACTCTTGTCACAGTCATTAAACTCTGACACAGAGGAAGCAGGCCTGTCCTCACAGGTAGGTTTTTGTGGCATTTTAGTTCTCATTTGAAATAGAATCGATGTCTGAAGCTCTGACACCCAGGGTTTCACTTAACCTGTCTAATATTGCTCTCTCTGTTTTCATGTCTGTAGACTAATTTCTAGTGAGCTCTTGCAATTGAGTCAGGCCTTCATGACCCTATTAAAATATAACTCTAAGGGGAAAAAAAACCCTCATTTTCAAACTTAACCTTCCATTCCTTCTCCTTTTCTCTAAACTAAAACATTCTTTCTCATCTTTTCTTTCTTGAACCAGACTAATCTAGAAAAAGATCTCAACTTCTGCCAAGCAGAGTTAGAGGCAGATTTAGAGAAAGTGGAGACGGTTAATAAGTCACCCAGTGCAAACTCGCCACAGGTATTTCTCAGTTTTTCTCTCCATATTGGTTGCTTTTCAAGCCCTGCTTTGTTTTCTTCTCTGTTCTTTGACTTTATGTTGTGGAGATGACAGAGGGTGATGCTGCTAGCTTTACGATGCTTGGCTTTCTGAATCCTGTTTACACACATATGCACACTCACATGCACACACACATACTCACATGTGTGTGCACACTCCTGCAGGCATGCACATGTGCTCATGCAGACACACATGCATGCACACACATGCACACACAGTCAGTTTTTTTGTTTGGATTCCTTTCGAGCTTGGCATCTTCCTTAAATGGGTTTTTCAAATGCGTATAGGATAGCTGAGAATTTGGACTCTCCCCTACCCACCATGCCCTGTACTTTTTCTTTGGCCACCATTTAAAGTTCTTTCCTTTGCCTTCTTTGAATTTCCAAAGTGCTGTTTGTGGGGGGTGGTTTTTCTTACCTTCTTTGTAAGAAGAAGGGAGATGCCAACCTCAGAGGTCATATTGAGAGACACAGCAGCAGTAGCTGGGCTCAAGGCAACAGAAATAGAAATGGTATTTGTCATTGTAGAGGTCAGCAAGTTCTCAACAGAAAACATACTCCAGATAGCAAACAGCTTGGAAACAGGCATTTGAAACTGGGCCTGTGTTAAAATACAGGTGTTAAAAGGTTGGAAGGGCTAAGGAGACAGCCAAGACTATAATGATACCCTGTCTCAAAATACAAACCAAACCAAACAACAAAATAATAATGAAATAAATAAAAGTTATAATAAAAAATCTCCCAGTTTGATTTGCCATCCACGTCAGGCAGCTCACAACCACCTCCAGCTAGCTCCAAAGCCTCTGACCTCCACGAGTAAGCGCATCACTCACAAGCATACACTCACATGCAGAACCACAGTTTTTTTAAAAAAAATAATTTACTCATTGCATGTCTGTATGTCTGTGTGAGGGTGTCAGGGCCCCTGAAACTGGAGTTGCAAGCAGTTGTGAGCTAGCTGCCAGGTTGTTGCTGGGAATCGAACCCCAGCCCTCTGAGTGAGCAGCCAGTGCTCTTTGTTTGCTGAAGTGTGCTTTGGGTTCCCTGACAAAACTGAAGAAATTCTTATGAGAAAATAATGGCTTTAGAAGAAATAAAATAGTAATGTAGACACTTCTGCAATGGCCAGGAAGGGCCACACACTATGGGAGATGTGCACTTAATACTGGATCTGGGCTGTATGTAAACATGACTGAGACTCGGTCAGACCACTAGTGCAAGGAAGTTGTGCACAAAAGTCAGGTGTGTGGCTCCAGACTCAAACCCAGGAAGGGGCAGAGAAACCACTGTTTTATGGTAGCCTCCTTGTGTGTCTGGGATAAAAGAGTGAAGCTAGTGAGCTATGGCAGTCATGGCCGCCTCCTTTGGGTCCATTGAGGTACCAGTGGATGAAGTTAGCAGCGGTTAGGCCCCTTTCCTCCATCAGACTTGAAAGGAGGCAAAGAGGTAAGTTGTCTGTCACACGCTCAGTTGAGGCAGACAGGTTATCGGGTGCAGAAAGGTAAAGTGGGATTTCTGACAGCATGGATACTGGAACCTGGTATAATTATTGTGGGATTGAAGTTTCAAAGAAGACACTATCCCAGCCTGTTCTGGAATGAGTTCTGGCTGTGGGTATGGCCTAGTAACAACGGCTGTCATGCTGGATGAGAAGTCCATAGTAATAGGCTGGCTAAAACGAATCAAGAGATGCTTTCAAAGTAGTCAAACTTAACAAGGGAACTCAGGCAGAGATGGGACGCAGCAGAACAGGGCCCGAACCCTGCCAGAGACACCATGGTGCAAGGAGGTGTCTGATGCATCCACAAACATTTTCTGTTGTTACTGCACTGGTGCTATTAGTCTTGACTGTATGTGAGCCATGCTTTCAGGGGCTCTATACATGCACAAAAGAGACTGCTTTCAGGACATGACAGTTGAGGCCACACTTAATGGGGATATCCATTTTGAGGCACTAGGGAAACATAAAATGTACATGTTCAAAAGGATAAGACAAAAATCTCAGGTGGGAATGGGGGGATGGGCAGGTTTGGGAAAGACTGTAGACTCAGGAGTGTGACTGAGGAGATGCTGAGTTTCCTTCAGATCACTGATGTAGCTAAAGATGTTTTTGAGTGAGAGAGCACCATTCCCTTAGAGAAGATGAATTGAAGGCAGAAAACGGGAGTGCCAGAGGGTGAGGAGGCCACTGCAGTAGTTCAAGCGGACCATCGTGGGAGTCCACTCTGTGGAGACACCAACAGGGAGGAGGGGAGGACAGATGGAGAGAGGCTGCCAAGGGAGTTCTATTGGGTTACTTTACATAGTTGGCATGAGGAATGATGAGCTTGGGAGAGGGAAAGAGATGGATAACTTTAGGGTTTGGGTCTAGCAGCTAGAAGAGTGTGGTTCTGAGCACGTTGAGGAAGCTAGAAAGAGAATCGATGCAGAGGTAAAGTCATGGAGTTGGTTTCAGGTCTTTGACTTCTGAGGTGCTGGCTGGAGATCGGGTATGGGTATCCAGAAGGCAGCAGGAACGGTAAAACTAGATCTTAGGAAGCAGTCAAAGGCTTAAAAAGCCCATCAGAGTTGCCTGCAGGGAGGTGATTGTGGGGGTCTTGGGAGTCAGTGAAGACATCCACCTGTCAGCAAGTAAAAGGTTGAGCTGTAGGGACTAACAGCTACCCACTCGGATGTTGGATGGCGTTAGCAAGACAAGGTGAGGCACAGGAAGGACTGTTCAGACACATGGAGGGATGCATGTTGTGGAGCAAGAGGAGAAATGCAGAACTACCCAGCTAGCTGCCCCAGAGAGATCCTAAGAAATGGATTTGGGGTAGTAAAATGGCTCAGTGAATGGAAGCTGCTTGCTGTCCAAGCCTGGCAACCTGGGTCCCATCCCTGGAGCTGGATAAAGTAGGTGGGAGGAGAGAACTGACAAAGTTGTTCTCTGACCTCCATGTGTGCTCCATGGCACACATACCCTCCCCGACACAGTAATAAAGAAATAAATAATTTAAAAAAGATGAACTCCTAGGCTAGGTCCAGGCAGTGGGTTGTAGAAATTTATATAGACTTTGATTTCTGGGTATTAGCTTATGAAAAGGAATCTGTCCTGCAGGGTGTAGCATTATTGAGGGCATTTGGGGTAGAGACACATGGATGGACGGAAGGAGAGGACAGGAACGGGTGGTGGTGACCCAGAAGGGCTTAACAGGGTCAAAGTTTTTCACTATGGAGTACTGGCATGGTCTTCAAAAGTAGAATCCCAGGATGGGCAAGTGCCAAGAGGTAGGCATCTCATGACAGGAGGTGGACAGGTGACACCAATATAGCTAGAAGGGATAGAGGGTGATGGGGTGTGTTGGTTGGGGGATGGTGTGAACAAAGCCTCTCTGAGAAGTAATGGGTGTGGAGGAGGAGAGGCAAACCTCACCCTGGGACACCAGTGCCTTTAAGGGAAAAGGACCCAGACTGACAGGTTGGAGCTGAAGGCTAAGTGAGGAGCCACCAATGAAGCCACCTCTCCTCCCTGTCATCTCCTCTTCCCTAATCCACAGTCTCTTCCTCCACTTTCAGTATCCTTTTCCCTAAGTCTCTCTTCTCTGGGTAGTTTGTTTTCCTTAAAATGGTTATTAGTAGAGATTATAGCCATTAAATAGGAGTATCTGTAAAAGTTAACTTCTACATTGATTTACTTAACACAAATATATTGAACCCTTGGCATTTTTTTTTTCTCTAATGCAACCAAAGAACCTCTGAATTACAGAATTACATTGCTTTCGCTTCTTAGTAGCTATTGACTGACTTCTTCCTTTCCTTAGTGGCCTGTAGTTTTATGAAGCATCCCCCAACCCGTGCTGACAGTGTTGTTACTGGATCTTATGAAATTGTGTCTCATTCTCATACTTCTCAACTTACAGGCATAAATGAATTGTGTAAACTTGGTGTGATCAACTTAAAATGCATTTTTTTTTAAATGTAGTTTCTACCTAGAGTGTGTTGTGACCCTCCTGAGCGTGGCGTTTGGGGTGCATGGAAGGATCTACAGTGGGCTTGGCAGGGTTTCTGAGACTGGGGAGGCTCAGGTGGAGGGGCTTCTGCTCCCCGGGATTACTGCTGAGGATAAATGTGAGCTGAAGTCCACCTCTGACCCACCTACGTTATGGCTTCATCTCCTGTGAGGCAAAAGATGAGAGCCTGGCACCCACCTCCCCACCAAAATCTTTGTGTCCAAGCCCCCTGTCCCTCAGGGGCACTGTCTACATGACCAAACAGAAGTGGCTTGTCTCCTTTCCCTTGCTTTGCAACCTGTAATACACACAAATCACTGCCTTTCTCTTTTCACACTGTTCCTTTTCCTTTTTATTTTACAGAGCTCAGCAATCAGCCCAGATGTCACATCAGAGCCTCCTGGATAGTAAGTAGCCACTCAGTGTTTTCAGGGCCCAGTGTATCATGGCCTAGACAAGGGTGAGAAAGGCTGGTGGTTTGGACCCAGACTGTGCTAGGTGGTGAGGGCTTTGGTGCTGAGGAGGGCTCAGGACAGTGGGCTGTCCCAGGCTTTGGGCTTTAACTTCCAGTAGTTTGATGGTATTGTAGTTTTCTTTTGTTCTCTCTTTCTCTGAATTAATGTTACAGTGATTCATGTTGCCTTCCATTGGCTTCTCTCCGGGTTGATAACTTTACCTTTGGAATGTGAAGTTATTTGTCTACATTTATTTTATTTCTTTTTCGTGCGTGTGTGTGTGTGTGTGTGTGTGTGTGTGTGTGTGTGTGTCACACAGGGAGAGATAGAGAGAGGGAGAGAGTGTGTATAAATGTGGGGTGTGGCTGTGGAGGTTAGAGAACAAGCTTTGGGAATCAGTTCTCTGTTCTCTGTTCACTGTGAACTCTGGGAATCTAACTGGGTCATCAGGCTTACACAGTAGGTGCGTCTGTCTGCTTTGTCTTCTTATTGGCCTGTTTGTCTACATTTGAATCAAAATTGTCCTCAGTGGAACCTTGAGGGGAGGGAGTGTAGCTAGGATGTACCAGACCTGGAATAATGATAGAGGGGCAGATAGTGGGATTAGGGCCTTAGGCTAGTTCTGTTTTATGGGATGAAAATCTAGAGCCTAGATTTTCATATGGACATGTATTTTTTCCCCCTTCTGTCAATTCTTAAGATTTTTGACTGTACAATGAACGTACCTCCCATTCACTTCTTCATGGAGTAACTGATACTGTCTAGGGAGTACAGGAATGGGTTTATTTTCTTATTGAAGGGCAGGAAAGAAATGGAAATCTTGGGGTGTCCCAGCGGGCTACCATATGATACCTGAGAGGTTAGGGTATCCTCTTGGTTTTTAGTTTCATTAATAAAAGAATTTAAGAATGGATAGCCAGAAGCCTGAAGACAGCTTATTAGAACTTAAAAGGAGAGCCCCAGGGCATCAATCCCTAGCTGCCTGGAAGGAAGAAAGAGGACTGAGAAGGAACAAAGCCATGCTGCTTGAGATAGGCCCTCATAGGTCACCACCTGGCAGCAGGCAGCCTCGTGGTCAGCACAGGAGCTTTTGACAAAGTAAGGAAGCCAAAGTGTGAATTACAGAGTTAAAAAGCAGACTTAAGTCCTGGCCAGCAGCTGACAGAAAAAGACTGTGGCTAGATCCACAAGGACTTCATTGGAGGTGGGAATTCTGGGAAAGAAAGCACATTATCATAAGGTGAAACTGCCTTACTAGAGATGACCCCATACCCAAGCCACCCCATTGCATTAATCTTTATGGGAGGGAGACAAGGGCGTGTCTCCAACTACAGGTAGATCCCATTCTTTACATACCAGTCCTCCCTCAAACCCGCTCCCAGCATGCCTTTCCCAGGGCTTTCCCATGCAGCTGTTATCCGGGCTGAGGGCTGAACGTTGTTATCAGGGCTACCCTTATCTTGCCCCAGTAGATTGGTAGTAGATAGCAAACTCCTGAGCTGTATAAACAAGTACTAACTGGACTTTCTTAAGGCCAGGCTCATGTTAGTGCTTCTGGCCTCAGCCTCTCTGCCAACTATCTGAATTGTTTGTGTATACTTTCCTAATTGCTAATTAGAAACTCCCTAAGGGCGAGGGCTTCCATCTCCAGGGTGCCAGGTAGACCTGATAAAATAGAGGTGAGGTAGGTTTTGGATGCACTGGGTGCTTTAACCAGGGTTCTCTGCCCCCTTGCTTCAGGGTTGCCTGGAGTTAACCACTGCTGCCTGGCCTTCCCTCTGCCTCTCATCTACCTGAACTACACTGGGCAGAGAAGCCTGCTTCACCGAGTGCCCCCAGCCCAGTAAATTCCTTAGGTCTGCTAGTACTATGCCGCTTATCACAATAGAAATTTTGGTATGGTACCTTGACTGTCTGGGACTCAGGGACCTATTTACTGCATACTTCTCTTTATGCCAGGCACCAGGTACCCTACCAGCTTCAGATCTTAGCATTTCATCCAGTTTGTCCTACCAAGTATTTCAGATGAGCTGCCCACTCCCCACCAAAGTAAAACTGAGGTCTGTGGAGACTTGTTTCAGTAATATAAGTAAGACTGGAAACTTGCTGTGGTGGTGCACACCGTTAACCCCACAAAGTGAGTATAACAAATGAAAGAAAAGTGGCAGCGGAATGAAGCAGTGAGGGTTAAAAGTAGAAATCACTACCGTGGTCAGTCAGGGTTAAGAACACAGGTCTCAACATGCTTATTTGTTTATTGAGCACTTAGTATGCGCTAGGTCCTGCCTTCATGTTATTCCTCTGCAAGTCCCAGGAGCAGGTATAATCACCAGACTCCAGTGTACTGGTGTGGAAATGGGCACACTAGAGCAGTGTTCTGCCCACAGTTTCATAGCTGCTGTGTGAATGCTCTACCCAGAGTACGAGCAGTGATGCTCAGGGCCAGGTGTTAGTAGTAGAACCTCACCTAAACTATCCGGATGCAAACTTGGTAATAATATAGCTGAAGGCTCAATAAAGCTTGCCAATTTTAAGCTATTAAATACAATATGAACAACTCCTTGCGATACTGGCCTAGCAGGATTGAAGGTGATGAATGCGAAGTGCTTAAAGAGGCCACTTTTTTTAAGGCACTCTGAGCCTTTATGATGATATTTGATGTGATGTTTTCCTAGCCAATCTTCCTCTCTCCCTCCCTCTCTCTTTTTCTGTTGATGGGGTCTCATTGTGTAGCCTTGGTTGTCCTGGAACTCTGTGCAGACCAGGCTGGCCTCAAAACTCATAGAGATCTGCCTGCCTCTGCTTCCTTAGTGCTGGGGTTAACGGTGTGCACCACCACAGCAAGTTTCCAGTCTTACTTATATTACTGAAACAAGTCTCCACAGACCTCAGTTTTACTTTGGTGGGGAGTGGGCAGCTCATCTGAAATACTTGGTAGGACAAACTGGATGAAATGCTAAGATCTAAAGCCGGTAGGGTACCTGGTGCCTGGCATAAAGAGAAGTATGCAGTAAATAGGTTCCTGAGTCACAATTAACTGGACTCCAGCTTTCCAAGTACAGAGGCAGGATGTTTGCATGCTGAAACTGGGGCCTCTTGATGGAGCTACTGGGGTGAGATTTTGAGGGAAACATTGCCAAGGAATGAGGAGACAATAACAGCTTTCTGAAACCCACAGAATTAGTTATAAAGCCACTTTCTTGGGCAGATTGAAGTGTAGAATTTTGTTCATGAACATTGATTATCTCACAATTTTAATAGTGGTGGGTGTAGCAATATGCCAGATGATTAAAAGTTCAAGGCCTGTCTGGGGGATGGGAAACATTGACCCAAAGGACAAACAAACAAGCAAAAAATGATGATGATGATGAAGGCAGCCCCAGGGCAGCAGGGCTTGGGGAGGGTGGGAATACAGTCAACCACAGTCTATTCATAGTCAACCATAGTTCCAGTATCCTAACACAGTGATCAGTCCTGTCCCTCAAGTGCATTTTTTTATAGTTACTATCACAGTGTTTACCTGGTTTTTATAATTGTTATTCTTCAAGTGTTTCCAGATCTTCAAGTTTGTAATTTTCATCTAACCATTACGTATCCTTTCACCATATTAAAACTGTCTTCGCCTAACCAAAAGAACTTTATGTAACCAGCAGATGGCACTCAAGGAAAAGCTTCTCTTTCTGAACCAGCAGAGAGCAGTTTCCTTGATCTGGGAACAAAACACATCCTGTAGTGCTATATAAAACACTGGAGATTCCCCAGCCTTAAAAATATACTATAAGGTGATAGGTGTAGTTTTTGAGTTTAGAATCATTTATTCCATCAGCATTTGTTAAACGACCTTACTAGACACCAGGTTTAGGAAGATTGATGCAGTTAACAATCTGCCAGGGCTCACTGTGAAACAGATTTGTTAGCAGTAACTTGAATCCAGCGAGGCTAATGTAATGCTGGGACCCAGAAGGGAGTGGGCACCTTTTACTGTGTGGAGGGTGAGAGATAAAGGGAGGCTTTGTAGAGCTAGGGAAACAAAATGAGTAACGGGAACATTATATTATAAACTTTTTTTTGTTGTTTTTCAAAACAGGGTTTCTCTGTGTAGCTTTGGAGCCTATCCTGACACTCGCTCTGGGGACCAGGCTGGCCTCGAACTCACAGAGGTCTGCCTGCCTCTGCCTCCCGCCTCAGGCGGGTCCCCTGAAATCGTTGTTATAAAGCCCTTAGCACGAGGTAGTGGCAGGAGCTATGTCACTCATGCTGGAGGCACTTAGGCACTATAAGATGCAGTCACCACTGCATCTTAGGGACTCCTCTCTTCCTTGATTCCTGGGTTCCGGTACTACTTGTTCCTGGGATGGAGTCTTGGCAGATGATACTTGGTGATAATGATAATAAAACTCGAATACCCTTGATTCCTGCAGTGTGTGAACCACTGCCTCATTGGTCAGAGAGGAAAGTATTCTAAGACACCATCAGAGAGTACAATCAACATGGCATCCAATGGTGTGACTGAGGTTCTGGCTCTGCAATCTGCTGGTCCTGCATTCTTGACAGGCTAGCTAATCTACAAGTGCTGCATTTCCTTATCTGAAAACTGAGAGAAGAGGTGTGTGTGCCTGCATATGTGTGTGTGTGTGTGTGTGTGTGTGTGTGTGGGTGTGGGGGGGGGGGTGGGTCACGTGCCTTCCATGTCATACATACTTTTTTGCCATACATGTCATACATACAGATTGTTATCTGTAATTATGGGGACTCAAAGGCTGAAGCTTTGCACAAAATGAAGTGCTGGGTTTGTGGAATATGAAAAATTCCATCGGTGGGTAGACAGGAAGACAAATGGACAGATGTGTGATAAGGAAGTACCTTTCAATGTTCCCTGGAGAACCTAGGTGGGGATTGATATGAGTGGCCACTCTTACCATTCTTTAAGCTTTTCTATACATTTGATAATACAATAAAAACTGGGGTGAATTAATTCCATAAGGCTGTTGGTTTTCAAAGCTGACAAATCTTATAATGATAACAATAGGCTGATACCACGAGTATCAGAAGTATATAGCAGAAGCCTATATACTTTTACGAGAAAGACAGTCTCTTCTTGGGGAATGAGGAGGTATATGGAGTAGAGGAAGAAAGAGAAGGGGTATGTGTCATGTTAATACTGCAGGCTAGAGCACAAGAAGAGCAGATATGCAAAGGAGGAGTTCAGTGAGGAAACGCTTGGTTTTTTTCTCCTGTGTCACACTCATTCCAAAAAGAATTTACATTAGCTTGAAAAATACCTAGATTTCAAAGAAGATAAAGTAAACGAAGACCTAGAGAAATGGCTCAGTAGTTGGGAACCTTACTGTTCGTTCTTGCCGAGGAACCAGGTTGGTGTATAGCAGCTCACAACTGTCTATAACGCCAGCTCCAGGGCATCTCTGCCCTCTTCTGGCTTCTCTGGGCATTGCACCTATGTGGTACACATGACTGTATGTACAGGCACACACTCATACATATAAAAGAAATAGACATTGCTGGGAAACCATCATGGAACTGATCCAGACCCCCTGAATGTGGGTGTAAGTGAAGAGGCCTGGGCAATCTATGGGGCCTCTGGTAGTAAATCAGTATTTATCCCTAGCATATGAATGGACTTTGGGAGCCCATTCCACATAGAGGGATACTCTCTCAGCCTAGACACGTGGGGGAGGGCCTAGGCCCTGATCCAAATGATATGACAGACTTTGAAGACCCCCATGGAAGGCCTCACCCTCCCTGGGGAGCAGAAAGGGGATGAGATAGGGGGCTAGTGGGGGCAGGGGAGGAGAGGAGGGAGCGGGAACTAGGATTGACATGTAAAACAAGCTTGTTTCTAATTTAAATTTTTAAAAAATCTGAAAAATAAATAAGTAAATAGGAAAAAAAAAGCATAAATGAATCAGAAGCTGGAGTGATGGCTCACCAGTTAAGAGCAGTTGTAGGTCTTGCAAGTTCAGTTCCCAGCACCCTTATGCTGGCTCACAACCATTCATAACTCTATTTCCTAGGTGTCTAGTGCCTTTTTCTAACCTTTGTGGGTACCAGACATGTATGTGATACAAATACATGCATTTAAAAATAATAAATGAAGCAAATAATTGGGCCACAGCGTGTGAATGATAAATGCTGCCAGGTTCTGACAAAAGCTTTGAAAGAAGTAAATGCGGGATGTGGCTGTTCCGTTGGGCATGGTGGTATATGCCACACACGGAGGCTGAGACAGGAAGATCACCTGGGCCAGAAGCTCAGAACAAAATCCTAGCTGTGATAAGGGCACATAGAGTTCCAGAGTCTGACCCTGCTCAGTTGCTGGTTTCCCTGAAGCCACAGGGAAAGAGTGCTAGGGCTCTCTTCCTTTGCTGGTGATTTTGATGTTTCTGTCAGTCAAAGCTCTCATGCAAAGTAACCTAGGAGATATAATCTAGGTCATGGACGTGAATTTTCTGTCCATACCTCAGTACTCTGTATCTTTTGCTCGTGTCCCTGATTGTACCATCGTGCGTATAGCCACTCAGCTCCCTGTTATCCTACCCACCCCTTTTCTGTTTTTTTTTAAAGATAGATCTCACTGTGTAGCTCAGGCTGGCCTCAGACTTAAACTCCTCCTGCTCCAGCCTCCCAGGTGCTGGGATCACAGGCCCTTATTTATTCTGTAGAGCACAAATGGAGTCATTACACCTTGGAAGCTTTGTTGCTTAGATAGTGTCCCTGTGCACCCAGGGCATGGTGGCCTGCCATCTGCAGAAGTCTGTGTTTAAATGAACAAGCCCTGAGAAAGCCCAGGGCTTGAGCAGAAACCAGTTTTCTTCTCAGCTGGTGACAAACAGGCTTTTTAGGAGAATATTGAACAAGCTAACTTTCTATGTTTTTTCTCCCTCCCCTTTTCTCTTTTAAAATTACCTTGCTCGTAGTATATATTCTTCCAACTTCCATGCAGTGAAGAGAGAATCAGATGGGACCCCCGGGGTTCACACTAGCTTGGAAAATGAGAGGCAGATTTATAAGAGTGTCTTGGAAGGTGGCGACATCCCTCTTCAGGGCCTGAGTGGGCTCAAGCGACCCTCCAGCTCAGCTTCCACTAAAGGTAACCAACAGGCTGAAGACTGCAGGCGTCTGTCTCCTACATGCCTGCTACCTGAGTGTTGGCAGCAGGTGGACCTCAGCAACAGGGACAGCTCTGCCTATTCAGGTCCATGTCCAGGCCTTGGAGCCTTCTTGTGCCCCTCACTTATTTTCTTGCCGGCCATTTTTCTTTCTGGTATTAATGGTCCCCATCCCCACCCCCAACCTTGCTCTCTCTGAAACATTTCTCTCTCTCTCTCTCTCTCTTTTTTTTTTTTGTTGTTCTAATTCCCTTTTCCTAGAGTTAGCTGAGCTTCAGCCTTTCCTAACTGGCAGGGTGGCCATTTCTTTCGTTGCATCTTTGCACCTGCTTTGCAGCACAAATTATTTTGCTTCTGGACATCAGTTGGAGACTTTTTAAAGCCCTTATAACAAATGAGCATGTTACCTCTCCTCTTTTCCTTTCTTTTTTTTTTTTCTTCTTCTTCTTAAAGGCAGCTTACAGCTTTAACCTAATGGGTGTGTTTATTTTATTCTGCATGCTTACCAGTGGATCGTAAAGGCGGGAATGCTCACATGATTTCTTCATCATCAGTCCATAGCCGAACGTTTTACACTAGCAATGCTTTAGGCCCTGGGTGTAAGCACAAGAAACCCCTGTCGGCTGCGAAAGCCTGCATTTCGGAGATCCTTCCTTCTAAATTCAAACCCAGGCTCTCTGCTCCCAGCGCTCTTTTGCAGGAACAGAAGAGTGTCCTGTTGCCCTCAGAGAAGGCTCAGAGCTGTGAGAATCTTTGTGTTTCTTTGAATGATTCCAAGAGAGGCCTCCCACTCCGGGTTGGGGGAAGCATCGAGAACCTGCTCATGCGCTCCCGGAGGGATTATGACAGCAGATCCAGTAGCACCATGAGCCTACAGGAGTATGGCACCAGCGCCAGGAGGCCCTGCCCTCTTTCCAGGAAGGCCGGACTGCACTTCTCCATGTTCTACCGGGACATGCACCAGATCAACCGAGCTGGCCTTTCCTTAGGATCCATCTCCTCCTCAAGTGTGCGGGATCTTGCCTCCCACTTTGAAAGGAGCAGCCTGGCGTTAGCCAGGGGTGAGCTGGGCGCTAGCCAAGAGGGCTCAGAGCATATCCCCAAGCACACCGTGTCTTCCCGGATCACGGCCTTTGAGCAGCTCATTCAGAGGTCCCGGTCCATGCCATCCCTGGACTTCTCTGGCCGGCTGAGCAAATCCCCCACACCTGTGCTGTCTAGGAGCAGCCTGCTTTCAGCTCGTTCAGCCGAGTCCCTCCTAGAGTCTACCAAGCTCCGTCCCAGAGAGATGGATGGGATGAACTCTGCAGAGGTCTACGCATCCCCCACATGTAGCAATATGGTGGACCATGCCTTGAGTTTCAGGAGCCTTGTGCCTTCTGAGCCCCTTTCTATCTGTTCCGATGAGCTAGACCACTGTTCAAACCTTTCTAATGACAGCAGGGAGGGCAGCGGCGGCAGTGTTCATGGAGACTTCCCCAAACATCGTCTCAACAAGTGCAAGGGCACCTGCCCGGCCTCGTACACCCGCTTCACCACTATCCGCAAGCATGAGCAGCAGCAGCAGTCCTCCAGGCAGCCAGACTGGCGCTCCGATTCCAGGGGGGACAAGAACAGTCTCCTCAGAAATATCTACTTGATGAGCCCCCTCCCTTTTCGGTTGAAAAAACCCCTCCAACACCACCCTAGACAGCCTTCCCCCAGTGACTCCTCAGGGCCCCCTGCCCGCCAACAGGCAGACCTCCCCAGCCAGGGCCCTCAGGACAAGCCCCACTCTGCCGGGAAACCCATGGTCCCCACCCGCCTGTCTTCCCGACACACCATGGCAAGGCTTAGCCACAACTCAGAGCCCTCTCTGGACAGATCCGCAGGCCTGGAGGACTGCACAGGGGCCATTAATAACGGAAACCCTGTGCCCTACTCAGACCATGGCTTGGACAGGAACAACAATCCACAAAGTGAACTGGCAGCGGCCCATGGAGGTGGCATTTTGTGTGTTTGACCAGTCTCACCTCCCCTGTCTCCACTTGGCTTGCTCTGTCCCTCCCTCTGTGTGCCCTTGGTGCTCATCTTCTGCCTCGTCTTTTGCTTCTGTTTGTTTTGCTTGGCAATTAACCATGGCTTGTAGTGGCTGCACTTCTTTAAAACACAAATCCCCCACTTCATTTAGACTAACCACCAAACTGTTTCGAAAGAAAAATTGGCCGTTTAGCTCGTATCCAAGAACTGGGTTCATTTGAACTCCCAAACCCCTGTTCGCATCAATCCCCAGCCTCCCTGTGGTTTTTTGAGAGGCAGCCTCTCTCCGTGGCCCCGTGTGTGTGAGTGTATATGGTCTGTCCCTGTTAGAGCCTGCACGCCTCTTTGTAGGGATGCTTAAAAGAATGTCCCTTTCTTTGCTCACCTTTGGCCTTCTGGTGAGTCGTCTTTGTATTAAATCCAAAGAGCAGGTGGGGTGGGGGCTTGGGGTTTTTTCCTTGAGAATTTGTTATGGAGTATTACTCAGCAATGTTTATAAACTTGACTTTAATAATAGAAAAAGCCCTGGCTGCCCACTAACCCTTGGCCCATTTTAACTCTGCTGTGTTGTTTTGAAGATTCCGAGTCACCAAGACATTTTATACCAGCTGATTACCTGGAGTCCGCAGAAGAATTTATCCGGAGAAGGCATGACGATAAAGAGGTAATGTTCCCATCTTAACCTTTGTTTTTCTTGTTCAGAGAGAAAAACAATGAAGGAACTGAACTTTCTAGAAACCCATCAGAAGGGTGAGGTGGTACAGTGACCAGAAGTGTTGATGGTTCCTCCTGGGCAAGTTTTTTAAAGATATGGACTGGGCTCCATTCCCTTTCCCAGAAAGTGGGGCTAACTGATTTCTCTCTGGTCACTGGGTTATAAATGCCACCTCCCCTCAGCCTAGTGCAGGGAGGTAACATGGCCCACATTGTACTTTGCCTTGGAAGCTTGGAAACCGGAGTTTACATTCTCCTCCTTCCTCCCAACAGTGCATCCCATGTTGTTCTCTAAGGAAATCCCTTCCCCCTTTTTCTCAGGTACTCATAATTGGTACAAAGCAGACTTCAAATTAGAGTAAAATAGAAGGAAAATAGGAGAGTGAGAGTACTGGCCACTCTACATTTTCTGAGTGATTTGAATAAGTTCTTGTAATTCTGCCAGCTTTAATTCAGAAGAGAGATGTCTCATTAATGCTGGCAAACTCCAAACAAGAACTTCGAAGTCTGGATGTTTTCTTAGAGCTACTGAAATGTCTCTGTGTGGGATGATTTTCGGGGCTGGAATAGAGCCTGTCGTGGGAATCTAGGAAAATGTCATCCTGTATATCAGCTGGGTGGGCAGAATTGTCACTTCTGCTATGATAAAGCTTTACAGTATGCATGTTATAGCTGCACATTCCAAGGAAAGGGGAGTCCCATAGATTAGATAAGTTCAGTGTCCACTTTCCTGTCATTTGTTAAGAGATGCACAAATACTTTGAACTGCTGGCAGTGGGGGAGGATGTTCGATTATCACAACTGTCCCCATCCCCCTTTCCTACATTCGTCTGGCTTGAGTGGTCCAAGAGTTTAGGTAGAGTTTCCTTAAGGATTTAAGACAAGTCTGACTTTGAGGACTCTTATTATAATCATTGTTGTTGGATGGTGGAAAACAAACATGCCTCTCCTGTAGACACCATATCTGTCTATCAGAAGCCAGGGAGGAGTTTGACGTCCAGAATTGTTTAAATTACCAAATCCAAAACTCACAAGTGGGCCAATAGTTGGTGGTGCACTCCTTTAATCCCAACACTAAGGAGGCAGAGGCAGGCGGATCTCTGTGAGTTCGAGGCCAGCCTGGTCTCCAGAGTGAGTGCCAGGACAGCCTCCAAAGCTACACAGAGAAACCCTGTCTCGGAACCCCCCCCCAAAAAAAAAAAAAAACTCACAAATGATGAGTGTCTGTCAGGACTCAGAGAAGATCCCTTTCCAGACTTTACTGTACTTGTTGTGTCAGAGAGACCCAAGTTCTCATGCCATGAGAGGAAAGATAAAATTCCACTTTAGTAATAAAACCCTGGTATTCGATATGGCAGGTTTGGTGTGTGAGTCTCACTAAGAGGCATATTTTACTGACTTGGTTTAACAGCAAATCCATTGAAAGCTGCCTTTGCAGCATGTGAAACTTTCGTCCTTGGTGATGCTGGTGCACAGATCTTGAAGTGGTTTGTCTTTCCTTGTGGATATGGACTCTGTGGTTAAACCACAGACCTGGTGGATTTACTGAGTCAGGTTTAAGTACCTGGTTTAAGCCTTTTCCATTCAATATCTGCCCCACAGATAATGAACCGACAGCCATAGCACCAGTGCTTTTGGACAGGGCCTCAAGGATGTCCACTCCACTGCTATAGAAACAGTCCAGGAGAGTGTTAGTCTGCACCCTTTTATGCAAATCCATTCCTTTTGACACTGGTGATAGTGGCCTTTCAGAAAAGGAGAACCTGTATGTTCTTGAAGGGTCTTCAGTGGTCACCAAGCCAACTTTCTTGTTTTATTCAACAAGGGTATGACTTGAACAGGGACACCTCCTGACTGTGCTTAGCCAGAAACTAAGGCCCACGCTTCCTGGGGCAACACTTTTTCTGTGACATCGTGCTTTGCAAAGCACATCTTGCTTATTCTTTATTATAGGTTTCTAAGTGTTGGAAGACCCATAGCCATTTGTTGAGTTGGGTTTTTTGTTTTTGTTTTTGTTTTTTTGTTTTTGTTTTTTTTTTTTTTTGTAGACCCCAAAGGAAAACTGGGCCATTATCCTTTGGAGCTGAGTGTCACATGAGTTATTTAACTGTCAGCTGGAAGAAGACTTATGTTTAATTGAGTGTGTTAATAATTACCAGTTCTAATAAATACTTTCCCACCAGGAATATTAATCCCAGGAATGAAAATTGTACTGGTGTAAGGAAAGGCATTAAAATTCTTTTCTATTGGGCCATTGGAATAAGGCATGGATTGTATTTTATGAAAAGCAACATGGATTATTTGAAAAAGTCTTGATGAGAAATAGATGGTTATTTTCTTTTTAAAATATATTTCTTAGTATTGTTTGGGAATTTCATGCAAACATACATGTTTGAATCAAATCTCTCCCCCACAACCTCTACTCTAACTCATCCCATACCTCTCCCCCAACTTTCCCTCCTAACCTTTTAATTTTCTTAATAGGGCTATCTGTTTCTTTTAATTCCAGATGCCAGTTGTTTTTTCTACTGTTATCTACATCATTCCCTAAAACTCAGCTCCATTTCACTTAATATAGAAACAAGTCAGTGAGACAGTAGCGAGGTCCTCTGTCAGTCACATGAAGAACCTTTGTTGTATATCCTTAGGCCTTCTGAAACTTATGTCCAGGGGAACAAGTTGGCTCTTCTAGGAGAGGGTCACATTCTCTGAAAAGGGCAGCTTAGCTATGTGGAGAGCATGGGGACAAAAAAAATGACCTAATCGCTGAATAGTCAAGACCCACAGCCTCCGAGGCCTGGCGTAGTCAGGGGAAAACAGCACACCCTGATCCTATCTTGGAAACACTGTGCAACTGTATCATTCATTGTCTAAGGCAGATAGAGATGCCAGTTGCCAAACAAACGTGATTATAGTGCCTAGGCTTTATGTACCCTTGGGTCACCCGGCCTTTGTTGCCAGAAGGTTCAGACTTTGGACTGAGCGCAGGAATTGTCAGCCAGACAGAGAGGTCATATAGAATATGTGTCCTAATATCCCAATGTCCCTAGTTTCTTCTGGGCAGTACTCTCTCCTTCCTACAAAATATATAATGGATAATTACCATGGGAACATAGGAATTGTGGCCGTAAGTAAGTCCCTTTCACACTGACCCTTAACGTCTTCTCTTTATTCACCCATACCTTCTTCCTTAGTTGCTTATATGGCCATTACCCATTAAACTGAACCAGATAATTCACTGCCCATTTTATGCAATTTCATGGCAGAAACTTTTAGCGGACCAGAGACGACTTAAGCGCGAGCAAGAAGAGGCCGATATTGCAGCTCGACGCCACACGGGTGTCATCCCGACGCATCATCAGTTTATCACTAATGAGCGCTTTGGGGACCTCCTCAATATAGATGATACTGCAAAAAGGAAATCTGGGTTAGAGGTCTGTTTTGGTCGCCGCCAACTGCTGCTTGATCCAAAGCAATATTTGACTTCCTTTGGCATTGCCCTCTCCAGGCCAATTTAGTTCTCCAAACAGCGTCTGTCATCCTGGCTTCCCTAGCCTTGCTTTGCCTCTTTTGTGGCTGGTGAATAGACATGAATGAGCCCCACTATGTCCTGTGCTGTCTATGTTCAGCATGCCTGGCTGTGGGACTGGGATCTGCTGGCGCACACTCCTACTGCATGCTTAGAGCATTGGCTGCCTCATGAGTTCAATCCTCTCCATCTTGCATTTGACCGTGGTACCATGTTGCATTGTGTTCTGCTTAGAAACTGTGTCCCTTTGGCCATGTGTCTCAGAAGCTTGGGTGTGAACAACCCAAGGGTTTTCTGTAAAGAGATGGTTAATGAAGCTTTCGTTAATTAAAGTTACCTAAGGACCTTTTATAGCATTGACAGAGGGCCCCAAACTTAGTGGTGTTGCTGTTGAAAGCTCAGAGAGCAGAACTGATTGCTCAGTGGTGCTGAAGCATTTTGCTGAGATTTGGACCTCTGACTTCTGCAGCAAGGATAAACCTGTGGAGAGGATAAGAACACTCTGAAGAGACGTTTCATCTGCTACCTTAGTCTCGACATTCCTACACTTAAACCAGAAGAGTTTAATATTATGCTAGGAATGAAGAGCAAGAGTGTAGTGATTTTACCCAGGTCTTGCCTCCCACATCCAGGTCAATGTGGTAGATCAAAGGCTACCTCTTGAGTGATAGTTTATTCCCTGCCATATAACCTTATGTAGCCCTGCTGAGGCTAGGGTCTTCTCTGAGAAGTGTATGTGTCTTTGGCATGATTGGGCATGCTGGGGCCAGAGGAAGTAACACCAGACCTAGTTTTATTACCTCTCAGTATAACTTATGTTTCTGTCTTTCCAGTGACAGAGGCATCATTAGCTATTTCTTTTTTAAAGAAATTAAAGGTTCCTGGGAAGAAGAGAGAGGAGAAAGACTGATTTAAAGAAGGAAATTGGGGGACAGGGCAGATGCTAAAGTATGGAGAAAAAAAATGTAATAAAGGAAACAAAAGTCAGCAAGTCTCTGTCCTCTGTGAGTGACAGGCAGCCTCTTGGTGCTCACTGTGATGGATCCTTCTCAGAATGGCCCTGCTCCAAAGGCTCTGATGGTTTAGCCCCAAGCATAGGCCTGCCTGTATGTGAAGAAGAGAGGAGCCTGCAAAACTGCCTTAGGGATACATGGGCTTGTCAGGGCTGCTCAGCTGGAGTAGCTGTGACAAGGCAGGCACATGCTTCTTGACTGACCTGTGTCACCTCCAGAGTGGTATTTCCCAAATTGTGCATGAACCTCCAAATGCAGAATCCAAAATGCAGACTTCTGCATCCCCCCTATGATGTTTTGATCTGAAGTGGGGTCTGAGAATTTACAAATTGATGTATTAAGGTCTGCATTTAAAGAATCACTGTCCTTTAGTTGAAGGACAGTTGAGGCAGGGAGTCCAGCAAGTGTGGGTACACTGTGCTGTGTAGATGCATTTTACTGTCACTCAGCAGGAGTCAGTCGTCACTAATTCTGTATAGCACTCTCCCTGCATACAGCAGAAACAGCACAATCTGTTCTTATGGAAAGATCACCTCCATATATAGTCAGCCAGGTGAGGTGGCACATACCTTAATCCCAGCACCTGAGATGTGGAGTTAGCAAAATCAGGAGTTTGAAGTTATTCAAGCAATGAATATGTGCTGCTGTGGTGTACATTCTATCATGTCCACACAGCTATATAGCTGGGTGACATAGGTGATCCACCACTTTACCCACACCTTTTTCTATTCTGATTTCTATGAAGTTTTTATCCTTCTAGTTTGGACTTTGGGTCTTCTGTTGTGAACATGTTATTTATCCTCACTCTCACATTCGTTCTGCTCTTGTGTACCTACAACTGTTAAAGTATGCCATAAATATAGGCATTGGGATTTATGATATTTACTTGACTATAAGGTGGTTATTCGGTTGTCCCCTAATCTAACACATATGTATACAGATAGACGGGAACAACTGCACAAAAATGCAGGATGAAAAATCCTTATGGAGAACCAATCTCAGCACATACCTGTGATCTCAGCTTGGGAGGAGGAAGGAGGATCCAAAGCTCAAGGCCAGCCTGGGCTCCAGTGAAAACCTGTCTCCCGTAAAAACAGAACAAAACACAGAAATTCCTATTGTGCAATACGAACCCTAGAAGATCTCTGTGAAAACCAAACCAAGAAGCCTGGAAATGTAGGGCATATGACCAAAGGAAGAACAACTAGAATAGCCTGATGATGCTTTTAGGTGCCTTTTCTTACCTCGGGGGCTCCATTTTTCCCCTTCCACTCTGCCTGTGTCTTCCAATGGGCCATTCATTTTCTTCATGTTGTTTCCCTAGGCCGAGTCCATAGCAGCTGAAGAGGTCAGCGTTATACCTATAGAAATAGCCTGTGCATGCAGTTTTAACAAGTTCATGTGTCCTTTAAAAAACCGTTAAGAGCAAAGAAGAAAGATCTTCGAGTAGATAAAGATGAAGCTTTTGCCAGGTGGAGCTGAAGAAGTTCCAGGCTGAGACGTTGCACATGCACAGGAGGGTGTGATTGAGATGACTGACATTTAGGTGTGGGGGGTATGACCCACAAGCCTCCACCCAGGTTAGAGGCAGAGATTTCATCTGCTAGACAGTCCAGAGCCCAAGACAACATCAAAGCAACCACCCCCCCCCCCAAGTGAGGAAGAATTTGAGGAATGTTATTTGTGCTCCTGGGTGACAGTAGATTAGAGTGAGGACAAGGTAAAAATCAAAGGAAGCTTTGTGTCTATGGGTCCCAAAGGTCAGACCCAAAGCAACAGGGTTTTTGACTGAAGGCAAGCAGACGCAGGCGTGACTTACTGACAAACTTAATGAGAATGTGGAGATGGCTAGGTCTGGCATTCCAGGCTTGAGTGTCTAGGAGAAAGGGGTCACCACAGCCAGGATGGAGTTTCAGTATGTAGAAATATGCTCAGGGTTTCCCCTAGCTGACTTTTTGGATGATGTCACAGACTGTGGGATCATATGGAATAGAAGATATCATGACAGGTGAACCAGAGTTTGATCCACTTTCAGTATGTCCCACAAAGAGTAAGACAGTAGGTAAGGCTTGTCTAAAGGCTGACAGTAGCCATGGTCAGCATGCCTGAGGGGCTTTTCAAACCATCTCTTACCTAAATGTGGCCCTCTTAAAGGGGAATTTTCATGCATGACACAGTTGACTAAAACATCCATCTGTCATTCTGATGAGGTCAGGTGCTACGGTTTTGTCCAGATTTCTAAACCAAAATGAACTGGTTAGAGTGGATTTCTCTGCTTCGCTTTCTAGAAACCTGTGAAAATGCATTCTTTTAATTGTTCATCAGTCATGATTTTTAACTCAGCATTATTTCTTGTGTTTAGATGAGACCTGCCCGAGCCAAATTTGACTTTAAAGCTCAGACACTGAAGTAAGTGCTACTGATCATGTTTGTCTTCTTGGTTGCCTCTTGTTTGCTTAGGGCAAAGAGTTGGGAGAAACAACGAAGACAGAAATAAAAATAATAAAGAGTAGACTATATACCAGGCACTGTTACGTTGCCTATATTAACTCATTCGATTCTCATGAATAATCCTGTATCCTGTGGAGTAGGTACTATTATTCCCACTTCCCAAACTTAGGAAACCTAGGAGGTGATAGAATCAGGGTTCAAAACCAGCATCATGGCATCTGAAGCTGCCTCTTACCCTCTTTTTATCTGACTGAGTTGCAGCATGATCTGACACAACCCTTAGTGGAAACACCAGAACCAGTTTCTAGGAAGTATAACCTGGCCCATTTTACTATAGCATCCCTGAAGGAGAAAGCCCATGGGATGCTAGCATTTCTCTAGGTGTGTTCCATGGAATGTTCATAGTGCAAGGTGTTCTAAAAAAAATGAAATCAAACAAACAAAAAACTAGTGTTGTAGAAATGAGTCAAGAGACTACCATGGACTATATTTAGGTCCCCTACCCCTGGGGGAGATGGACTGCTGTTGGCATGTTCGTGGTCGAGGAGCTCTCTCAGAGACGGAAGCTGATCTGCTTATTTGGCCCAAGTGTTCTCTAAATTTAGGTGACCTGGAAACCTCTCTGTTTTCTATGGAACACAGTTTGGGAAACACTACCAAAGACAGGTTCCAAAAGGACTTTTGAGCCTTATAGCTAATTATGGATTAAAACAGACCATGCATTTTCTTTGGCAGCTGAAGGTAACGTGGCCAGCCATATCCCATTGTCCTGCTGGCAGGAGGCATCAAGGGGTAGGAGGGAGTGCTTCCTTTCATGAGTGATCCCTCAAGGCTCCTCAGCCATGTTTTCCATTTCCTCCAACACAAAAGGAGTGGCCAGACCAACTTTGAGGAATGTAGACCTGAATCTGAAGTGGTTGGATTTGATTGTATTACTCCGTGGCCGTAGATTACTAAAAGAGATGGTGGTGTGGACTTGAGAATCAGGAAGCCCTGACTCTGCCACTCCCATCTCTGGAAACATGGCCAGGTTATCCATGTCTCTCACCCTCAGCCTTCCTCATTGCTAAGAGGCAACCAGAAATGTCTCCCTTGCAGAGAGGCCAGCCACGGTAAAACCAGTAGGATGTTTTGCACAATGTAGCAGAAGTCAATACTCAAAGTATATCATCCACCATCCTCATTTTTCCACCAGAGAGAATAACAAGAATATATGAATTAATTTGCAGTTTAATCAAAGAGGAATATTTTTTTCTTTAAATTGAGACTTTGGGTGATACATTTTCTTAGGTTTCATTTTAAAAGTTTGCCCCCCCCCCTTTGAGTAACCCTATTGGATAGAAGAAGTGAGAAGGCTTGAGGGCTCAGGATTGTCACCATTTATTAATAAAGCTAATGCCAGAGAGAAGTTCCTTCCTTCTGGCTCTTGTTCTCATCGTGATATGCTGTTTTCATAACAAAATCAATAGAACTTAGTAGAAAGAGTAAATTCCAGATTCATAGACAGGATTATTTTTAAACCCTCCAGTCACTTGGTTTTACCTCTTTCTACCATGTGTTCCTAAAAAACAAAACAAAACAAAAACAAACAAACAAACAAACAAAAAGCTGAGCTCTGTGGCCATTTAATTCAACAAAATCAACCAGGCTTCATCTCCCTGTACTCAGGGCCACATGCATAACAACATTCCAGAAAACATCTGTATGTTCCATCCCTGTTGCTCTATGCAGGGCCAAGAATACATAGTTATGAATGTATTCCCATTCATAAACATAGGACATTATGAGACTCTTGTATGATAGGGAGAGGGGATTGATGTGTGGTTCTGGAACTTGAGGCTTGCAGATGATGTTGCATTGCAGCAACAAAAGGTTGTACACATCTGAAAGTGTCTTGGACTGTTAATTCCTGGTCCTCTATACAAGGCCTAGTATATAGATCCATGGGAGCTGGGTGTGATCTAAAGGAAGGCACTGCTGAAACCATTTTCCTAGAGACTAGTTCCCAGCTCTTCCCTGAAGGGGTGGTTCAGACCAAGCTGCCACCTAATTAAGCAAACAAAGCCCTTATGTGGGAAGACAGTGTCTAAGAACCAATCCTCTGGTATTGGGGGTGCCTAGGTTTGAAGCCTGAATCTGTCACCTTACAGGTGGGATAGGAGCCCTGTTATCTTTATTGGCCACAAATACAGATCTGCCCATGTCCATCTGTCTCAGAGTAGTGGTTCTCTGCTTAACAGTGGAGCTATTTCAGGTCTCACCTTCTGCCACACTGTATGACACTCAGACAGGAGATTCAGAACACTTCAAGGAGAGGGCTTTGGCATAAGTGTAGCCAGAGACATTTGTTTTCACAAAGATGAGAGTTCTGGATCCCTTTTGTAGACTTATTTAGGGTTAGAACCAGTGTCCCAACACAAGATCTACAAAAGCCTCCTCATATGCATTGCTCCAGCTCAGAGTCAATGTTTTATACATTTTCCAGATGTTTAACCAGCATCCCTCGTGTGGGGCATCTTGGCATACTGCAAAGCTGCCAAACCCCTTCCAAATTAGAGTGAGACGCCTACACTAGAAAGCCTGCCCCATAGTCACATACTTCCTCCAACAAGGCCACACCTCCTGATAGCACTACTCCCAGTGGGCCAAGTATTTGAACACATGAGTCTTTGGGGGCCATTGCTTTTCAAACCACCACATCCCCCCTTGACTCTATGTGAAGTCTGGTTTTACAAAAATCTGAAGTGTCTTCACTTCACTGAGCACATTTTGAAACATCTGCTAAAAGGCTATGACCTTCTGTCAACAGGGAGCTGCCTCTGCAGAAGGGAGACATTGTTTACATCTACAAACAGATTGATCAGAACTGGTACGAAGGTGAACACCATGGCCGGGTGGGAATCTTCCCATGCACCTACATCGAGGTACTACAGCCTGAGGCTCCATTCTCACAGAAATCCCAGCCGTGGCTAAAGTGCCATTGTCTTACCATGTCCTTGTGCTTTCTTCCCTTCTGTTCCTCTCCTTGCCCTTCTCTTTTGCTTCCTTTCTGTTCTCAGCTTCTTCCCCCAGCTGAGAAGGCTCAGCCAAGAAAGTTGGCGCCTGTGCAGATTTTGGAATACGGAGAAGCCATTGCTAAGTTTAACTTTAATGGTGATACACAAGTAGAAATGTCCTTCCGAAAGGTAAGCTCCTTGTCTCACCCTGGCTTTGGGGCCTTTGAATGGTGCTGTTATCTGGGGAATGTGATGTTGCTATAGAGTGTCAATCTGTAGCCTTAAGAACACAGTGAATTGATCAAAATTTGCAATAAGGGGAATCAGAGGTTTTTCCTAGATGAGGTTTTATTTATTTTTATGAGTGTGGGTGTTTTGCCTGCATGTGTTCCATATATGTACAGTCCCTGTGAAGGCCAAAGAGGCTGTAGAACTCGAGTTATACAGGGTTGAGAGCCACCATATGGGTTCTGAAAACCAAACCCAGTCCTTTGGAGGATCTGGTTTTTTGTTTGTTTGTTTGTTTGTTTGTTTGTTTGTTTTTTAATAATACAACTCAGAATTTAACCACACTGAGTTCACCAATTAAAGGCAGTATTTATAGCATCTTAGACATCATATATTAACTGTGTTCAATCAACATTTAGTGATGGGCATTTTGTTGGTGATGTGATTTAGTTTTAATATAGACATAGGTAGGTAGATAGACAGATAGATAGATAGATAGATAGATAGATAGATAGATAGATAGATAGATATAGTGGGGAATCAGGAGGAATTTCAAAGGCTTTGAAGCCAAAAGTCAAGTTATCAGAAGTGCAATTTGTGTGGAGCTAAATCCTTGAGCTAAGATTTCACTGCCTCATCAAAAACACTGAAACAGAAGGCCTCTTTAGGGTTTTGTAAGGGACCTGAATGAAGGCGGTAGCAGCTGCCACTACTGCTCTTGTTGCAGAAGAATTCAGCATGCTTAATGTGGCCACAGTGACCTTGTGGCTGGTGGGCGGGAGCCAAGTTTCTTCTTCTCACTGATTAGACATTCTCTATATGTCAGAATTCTCCAACTTGCCAAAGTTATTAGAATTACTAATTTTATTGAGGATCAAAAGAAGTTAGCTCATGCCTTGGAAAAACCTTATACAAAGAAAACCTAGAGTTTCCTAACTGCCCAATGACAGTGCATCTATGGTTAAAACGTTACATATGTAGAAAGGGAGTACCCTGGAGTGATCAATTAAGTTATATAACATCTACACAAATGAAGAATTATGATAAAGAAGGTTCACTCTCATTAAGTATCAAAAAGTATATAGGGCCAGGGTGCAGTAGCTTATCTGGTAAAATACTTACTATGCAAGCCTTAAGACTTGAGTTCAATCCCTAGAATTCATGGAAGTGCAGAAGGTGACTTCCACACAGGTACTATTGCACATGTGTCCCCTCATACCTACCAAATGCACAATAATAATAATAATAATAATAACAGTAGTAGTAGTAGTAGTAATAAATGGAATTTGGAAAAATAGCATGTGTGAAAATCAAACTATGATGCATACTCATACTCCATAGAGGAAAACTGGGCAAGTCTAATTCATACACATAGAAGTAAATCTGAGAAGCACCTATGTCAAAATATTAACAGTGGCAATTACCAAGAATATCATGATAGAGGATGATTACTCCCAACTTTATGTTTATTCTTATTCTAACTTTCCAGTAACAGAACATTAAAAAATAAAGTATGTAAAGGAAAACAAAGAGAACCTTCTGAGGGTCTGGTGAGATGGCTAAAGGTACTAGCTGCCAAAACTGAGGACCCGACCATAGCAAGTTGTCCTCTGACTGTCAGCTGAGTGTTGTGCCACCAACATTCCCCAACCACACACACACACACACACACACACACACACACACACACACAGGAAAGAGAACCTTCTGGCCTGGGTGTGATGGCTCTAACCTATAATCCTAGCACTCAGAAGATTCCATTAAGGAGACTTTAAGAGTTGAAGGCCAGCCTGGACTACATAAGTGAGTGTGGGCCCTATAGAGGTGGCTCAAGGGTTAAGAACACTTGGTATTCTTGCAGAGGATGCAGGTTAGATTCTCAGCACCTACATGCCGTCTCACCACCACCCGTAACTCCAGCTCCAGATGCTCTCTTTTGACTTCCACAGGCACCAGGCCAGCACATGGTGCACTTACATACATGCAGACAAAGCATTCGTACAAATAAAATTAGTTTAAAATAATATAATGCTAAAAGAACAACCCCAAACACAACTCTCCAAAGCCTTTGCCTAGCAGATGAAGACTGTACATGTGACTGCTTTGTTCTAAAGGAGCCTAAGATGCTATAGTTGCCTTCTGGCTTGAGGGCATACATCTGAGCTCTTTGTTGAAACCCTTAACTCCTTGGTTAAGGAAGTGCTACTGTGTTGGCATTCCCAACCCAGTATTCCATCCATGGGCAAAAGAGATGGCTCTCCTGAGTCTAGAGTGTGATTAAGGATACTGGACAGTGCAGGATGCAGGCAGGGACCTCAGATAGGCTGTGGTGTGGTGGTATAAGGATTCTTGCTTGCCTGGGTCTTACAGGGTGAGAGGATTACGCTGCTCCGACAGGTGGATGAGAACTGGTACGAAGGGAGGATTCCTGGGACATCCCGTCAAGGCATTTTCCCCATCACCTATGTAGATGTGCTCAAGAGGCCGTTGGTGAAAAACCCGGTGGATTACATCGACCTGCCTTATTCTTCCTCCCCAAGTCGCAGTACCACTGCGAGCCCACAGGTATCTAAGCTTTCCTCCTCAGCTTGGAGTTTGCATCTTCAGCTGTGTTGATGGTACACAGCCCCTCTGGGATGGCTCTCTGATGGCTCTAAGAACTGCCTTGATCAGGGAAGTCTGGGGGTTATTTTCATACATGCCTATGGCGTTCTCCTAGCGCACTAAGTATCGGAAAAAGGGAAGAGTTTAAGATAGTTTCTGTGGGGAGAGAGGTGAGGCGGAAAAACCCAAGTGACATATGAGTTTGTGCATCCCTGTGAAGCTAGTGGTGTGAAGGCCACCCCTGTATGGCCCAGCATGTTTCTCTTTGTAATATTGTCCATCAGATTGTCTTACAGATGACAGTGGTTGGAAGATAATTTCATGTTCTCACCCTTAGACATGTAGACCGGATTCAGAGTGCTCTTGCAAGCATTCTCTGGACCCAAGTTGGAAAAGAAGCTTAGAGTGTGTCAAAAGGGAGTAGTTTATAAGCATAGTAACATGTTCGTTTTTCTGAACATTAATTATAAGCATAATTGTTTCAAATGTTACTGCAAATCATGCCCACTTTCCCAAAGCTGAGAAAAACGAGAGCTCTGAGTTCAAGAGAAATATGGTAGGGTGGCATCCTGTGGAATGAAATTGGAGGAGGATGGGTAAAGACCGTGGGACTCTGGTGCTGACATGGTGCCTCTTTTCTCTCATCCTCTATCATTTCCTTCCCACCCCTTGCTGGTCACAGACACAGCGGAGAGCCCTTGGCAGAAAGCATTAGATTTCCTAACTAGTGGGAAATAAATTCTGCCTTCTCACATGAGAAGGTATGAGACTGGAACGGGCATTGTGCTCCATAAGAGCATGTGGAATTTGCATTCGACTGTGGCCAAGAGTAATTGTAATACAAAAGGACCACACAATTCCTGCTTCTATCTGGAAAACTCAGCAGAGCTAAAGAGAGGGCCTGGACAGGGCTGTCCACCTAACCCTGCAATTCTGGGTCAGGGCTGCGGCTGCAGAAATGGTTTAGTTGGCTGGGGCGGGGCACTTCCGGTGTTTTCCTCTGAAATGTGGCTCTGCAGAGCCTGCCAGCACTACCCACATCTATCCAATGGGAGGCTCTCCCATCTCCCTGCCACTTGCCTCTCCTCTCTCCACCCTGCTTGCACTCACTCAGCCACTAGGAGGTTTTTCTTCCAGCCTCAGCAGATGATTTCTGTTTTGGACACCGGGGTGTCCTGCTCATCCTCTCTATTTCATTCTTCTTTATGCCCCTCGTGGTTATTTTTCTCCTTTCTCCTTTATGCTGACACTTTTATCTTTGTTTCTTTCTTTTGTTTTCTTCTCTCCCCTTTTCTTTTTAAGTGTACTAGTCACAGCAAGCTCATCATGCCAGCCCCTTCATCTCTACCCCACCCCCGCCGAGCCCTCTCCCCCGAGATGCACGCCATCACCTCTGAGTGGATCTCTCTGACCGTTGGGGTCCCAGGCAGGCGTTCTCTGGCCATGACACCACCCTTGCCTCCTCTGCCTGAGGCTTCTGTCTATGACACGGACCGCTTGGCCTTGTCAGCGAGGGCCCGTCCCTCCTTGCCACTTAGCCTCCCCTATTCAAGTCGATCAGATCACTCCACATTGCGGCCAGTGGTTTCTCCACTGGCCCTGCCTCCACCCCACAGAGCCTACTCCCTGGCACCAGGTGCCCAGGCCCCTCTTCACATCAATGGAGATGGTAGTGTTCACACCCACCAAGATGGCTTCTCTCAGTCACCACATGGGAACTCTGATAGGGTCATCTCAGAGCTTAGTGATGCCTTTAGCAGCCAGAGCAAGAGACAGCCCTGGCGAGAAGATGGACCTTATGAGAGGAAAGCAGAGAGCGAGGCAGGTGAGAGATGCCCTGGTGGACCCAAGATCTCTAAGAAGAGCTGCTTGAGACCTTCAGACGTGGTCAGGTGCCTGAGTTCTGAGCAGAGACTCTCAGAGTTCCACACTCCTGATGACAGCCAGTCCTTCAAGCCTCTGGGTAGCCCTTTCCCTGCACGGGAGGCTGGGCCACCAGAGCTTCACAGAGGTGTCGAGGCTGACAGGAAGGCTGCTCAGAGTGGTATAAGCCAGGTAGGCCTGAAGCATGACGGGTGGTGCCTTGGCCTCTTGCTTGGCTTGGTGGAACATAGCAGATGTCTCACCTCTGGTCTATTAGCTGAGGCCAAGTGGATGCCTGTGAGATCTGTTTGCTTGCCTTGGAAACAAAGGGATGGCCAAGAGGGACTGGAGAAGCTGTGGACTAGAGTATTGGCTGGGGATAGTTCAGGGAAACATATTCAGCCTCTTGAGATGATTTGAAAGTATTCTCCTATTGATTGACATCTGTTACCCTGGTACCAAAGCCCATGAACAGGAACACCTTCCTTGTGTCCCATTCATGTCCCAGAGATAGTCCTTGATTTGCTTTGACTAACACAGCTGAGAACACCAGGCTTTGGTGTGATGTGGTGTGGTTTTCTTGTGAGATGCACTGTTTCCATAACTCATAGTGCTTAATTTTGTCAGATCTTTGTCTCGTTTTTGTGTTTGTGTGGGACTAAAGGGCCATGTTTACACTGAGCAGAGATGTTTTGGTTCTTCATAGATGGGAGGGTGAAGGATGGAGGGGCTTCCGGCGTGCTTGGAGTCACTCAGTTGGCATCATAGGTTTTGAATGGTGGTCCTCCAAGTCAACTACAAAGATCTCAGCATGTAAACCAAGGTAGACTGAGAGGTTTTTGAAGCGACATTAATTTGATAACTAGACAGATCATTATTCAGTTTTGCCTGTGTTATTTATTACCAAGAAAGTCAAGGACTTTGGGCAACATTTCCATATTAACCAGATTTGAGTACCAATTCCATCTAACTGCCATTATGGAAATTGTTCACCCTCTTAGAGACTCCGTTTCTGACTTCTGAAATGAAGATAGCCTCCCTCCTACCATGGTTCAGAAAATTCCTTGAAATAACTCATGCAGGTATTAACCACAAGCACTTTCTAAAAAGAAGAGAGAAGTACCATCTTGGGTGATCTGAAACTGTTTCTAGGACCAGGGATATTATAGAGCCTCAATAGAACCAAGTGCTCCTGTGGTGCTGTCCCTGAACTGCTGATCATCTGTTGTGTAGTGTACCCACAGTGGACTGTGGTCCGCCCTCAGACCTTTGGTCCTATTTCTCCTTGTAGCTGTTTGCTTTTTGAGTATAATTCAAGGTGTGCTGCTTGACTTATATGGTCTGTGGGTAGAATCCAGAGGTTGTTAAATCCCTTTCTTGAGGAGCCCATATCCAGTGACAATGGCAGATATAGTTATGTCACGAGGCCAGTAATAGGAACGCAGAGGCATGAGACACGCCAGGTTGGACCTCCACCTGCCAGTGTGTCTGGTGTGGCAATCACTGAGGGTGATCAAGTGTGTGATAGTTCATGTGGAATTGGGCTTAGACTACAGAAAGTTAGCAAGCACTGCACCCCTACCCCCATCCTATAAATATGTTGCTCATATATAAAGTAGGGGTAGAAGCACACAGTCCATCCCTCCCTGGAAGGGCTGTTGTGATTGATGGTTAATAAAACACTGGCTATCAATAGACTACTTGCATATGATCAATCTCTGTTAAACAAGGGCTTCCTGCTATGGCTACTGTACATGGCTGTCCCATCCCTTGGTACAGGGCTCTGGGACAGGTGCACCTGAACTGTATACTCTAAAGAAAAGTGTCTGTCTGCTTAAGAGAAAAAGATAGTTTACTGGAAGAGCTAGTGAAGTTGCCGGTTGAAAAGGATGAAATGTCTGACAAAGGAGCGATTCTCGGATCAACCTAAGGAGCCTGGAGTCCTCCTGATTGCAGGGGTGAGTCATCACTGCAAACTGTTCCAGGATTCAGTGTGTACGGGAAGTGCGCACAGTACTGAAGCACCAGTGAGGTTCAGGGTGCACACTTCCTGCTTCCTACCAAGGACAGCAGTGGAGTAGCTGGCAACACCAGAGACTGTGTTGCTTGGAAGGCCAGGCTTGTTGAGGACTGGACACCAGGTGTATCACTTCCTGTTCCCTCCCTTCCTCCTGCTTTCCTGGCACAAGCGCTCTCCCTAAGGATATGTGGGAGCCATGGTCTGATTTGGTCTGTTCGAGAACTAATGGTGTCCAGAAGGGCAGTTGTACACACGTCCTTCCCAGCCTCTCACTTCACCCAAGGCAGCTCTGGGGATGGGTCCTTCATAAAGGGCCCTGTCCTCTTGGGGACTATTTGGCTGACAGGCAAGCTAAAGATGGAAAGAACTTACTTCATCATCTGTCCTCTAGTGGCCCTGTCAGGACATGACCTCAGGCTGTGTCACTTGTTTGGGTAAATGCATTCCAATATCAAGAAACTTGCCACCCCCTCTTCCCCTTGATGAACCCCAAGTTACCCCAAGTTCCGTTTGTACTTTTGTTGGGCTGAGGGACTTGGTTGAACATCCGACCAGTAAACAGAATATTAAGTGAAAAGGCAGTCCAACACGCAGTGGTCATTTACTCCTTCTTTTAAATATCTAGTATCCATCAGTGTGCTAAGTGCCACGGGGAGCTGAAGGGTTTGGACATCACTGCAGGCATCCTCTACCTCTCAGGAAAGTCTTTCCTCCCAGGCTCAGAAGGCTTCCTAGTGAAATGACCATTTAGACAACAGGTAGATTCATCTTCCAAAGTCTCCCCAGCTCTTGTGTCTGGATATGCCTAGAGCATTAGGCCCTACAGTCAGGGACCACAACACCTGATATATGGAATGTGCTCTGTAAATATCTGTCAAATAAAAGAAAAGATTAAAAGATAACTGAGCAGAACCAGAAGAGTTTATGCCATTGACTGTGCAGTCAGCCCTGTTTGGAAGAGAGGGACACAGTCTACCCTGGAAACTCAAGATGGCAAGACATAAGTGTAGGAGGAGGAAGGTGATTGCAAGTCACATTTGTTGTGGGTTTTAAAGAATAGGGGGTTTTCCCACAAATACAGTGGGATGGTGATTGATATCCAAAGGCCCAGAGATGAGAAGCACGAAGTGTGGGTTGAAGAAGGGTATGTTCCTAGATTCAGCAAGCTTTGGATGTGCCTACAGATCAATAGATCCGTGGGATCTGCCAAGGAGACCGGGACCATAGCTTGGCCTATGCCTGTCTGTGCCTCCAGAATTTGCCTTATATTTTAACAGCACGGAAGCCAACTTCTTTGCTGTTCCTTGACCATTGCCAGTCAGTCCCTGCTCTTCTGCTTTCCTTTCCCTGGTCACCTGCCCCCATCCCAACTGTCCGGATGTGTGGCCTCCTGCGGAAGATGCTCTTATGGCTCGGTCATTTCTACTATAGAATGCTTTTACTTTGGGCCAGCTCCTTATGTTTTTAGGTTGGTTTTCTCTGAACAACAGAAGGGATAAATCAGTGCCAGTTCCAGGGTGTCCAGGGGAAGCAGGGAAGAGCACTGGTCTCCAAGTTCTAGTTCTGGCTCTGCCATCAGTCGGCTGAGTGTCTATGGATGAGTCACATCTCTCCTTCCTGGTAACTTCCTTGTCCATAAACAAAAGATGCCGATGTGGGAACTGACTTTCCTTTCAGCTGTGGTACTCTGTGATGGGATCCCATGTGAGCTTCAGTTGAAATGAGAAAGAACACATAAAATGTTAAGTATGGGCTTTATTGTAGATGTGCAGAGCTTCACCACCAAAAAACAAATACTTTACTTTCACTGGGTCTTGAGTGACAACCTTGTTGACTGGACAAAAACACACATAGGTATACTCAAAATGCCCAGGGTGTCAGGATTGACTGGCATGTTTTGGGGATTCTCTTTGTCATAATTTTGGCTAATATCATGTGGAACAACCAGGAGATCATTTGGGAAATCTTGGTCATTGGCACCACCAAGTATTTACTGCCTCTCCCCAAGGGAGAAGCAATTTGCTTACTGGAATCTAGATTTGTATATAAGAGTGCTTGATGCTTGTGAGAAGCCTCATCAAATTTGTATATTAAACACTGAATTCCTGTGATTCCAGAACTCAGGAAGTAGAGGCAGGAGGATCACAGAGAAGAGAGGATCAACTTAGCTGGAGACAGAAAGATGTGCAATGGTAACCACGGAGGAACTGAGTCAGTTCCCAGAAAGCTAAGAACAAAGGCAGGGACCTGGCTGGAGAATGGAAATCAGAAATGGACGGGAAACACGAGATGTAACTTGTAATAGCAAAAGGGAAGTTAGAAACATTAAGATCACACACACACACACACACACACACACACACACACACACACACACACACACACACTATATATTTCCTCACACTCAGAAATACTAAGATGTTCAAAGATGGAAAATGTTTTCCTTTGACTCATTCAGAAGGGAAGTCTCTAAGCACACCCAGTGAGTGTTAACAGTTTATGAGAAGAGGAGACACTGGACACTGTTCTTAAAAAATAACCTGAAAGTGTTCTCTCACCAAGACCAGAAGCTGCAGTGTCCACCCCTACCTTGTACGCAAAGAAACGGGATGCCTCTGTAGAAATCCAGGTGCCAGCAGCAGAGTACTGGAGAGGTGACCTTTCCCCAGCACTCCCTGCATTGACTGGCTCAGTGGTTGTGAAGTCTCCCTCTGGCAAGGCACCTAAAGGATCGATGAGTATGGGGTGAATGTGCATAACTTAAGAGTCCAGGAAACAGATGACCAGATGGACTGGAGATAGCACACTTACCACAGACCACACAGTTGGGACTCAGCTCAGGCAGTGACTCTTGTGATGTTGGGGAAGCAAGAACAAGACAAAAGCTGCCTTTCCACCCAAGA